GGCTCCAGAGCAAACTAATTTTATGCAGTAGCCAAATCGCCCCCTCACAACTTTAATGCCCGTAGCTCACAGAGTAGAATTTTTGCTCACAAGATTCCACAGCTTAGAGGGAGCATTGGTTCCAGGTGTTCTCTGTTCAGGAAGCATCCACTGAAATACGGTCTTGGCCTTTCCTTTTTCTCAGGCCCTTCCTACAAAACTGCCTCCCCTACCTGCAGGCAGGCAAGGGCTTGTTTCTGGCTCTGCAGTGCCCTCCGATGTCCAGAGTCTGCAAAGAAGACCTCTTCCCGCTCACCTGATTTCCTAGGAATGTGTTGGTAGCTGTGCTTGTTTTAAAAGAATATCTTTGCGAAAGTCCAAGCTGGGCCTCAACATCTCTATAGCAACACTGTGCAATGGCTTCATCCCCCTGCTTGACACAAAGAGCTATACCTGATGGATCTTTGGCCTGTCACAGAAAATGAAGCCTGCCTTGGAAATAAAAGAGGCCAATCAGAGCCAGTGGATTCCTGTATGTGACACAGAGACCTATGCCAGAAACCTCTTGGGTCTCTTTGCTAATTCAGCAGAAAGTGGTTTTGGGGTGCTGCTACGGGAGCCCCTTCTTGCTCAGTGGGCTCAGCCTGCTCACAATGGCCTCACTGCCAGTAAACGCAGGGCCTTTTCAGTGGAGGCCCCCCTAGAGAAGTCAACTGACCTCCCCCCTCTAATAGAAGCTTTGTGCGTGGAAAGGGGCAGGTGAAGCTCTGCATGGCCTGGAGATCAATCACCTCATGTGTCAAGCCCCTCACTGGTGTCTCTCTTAGGCATGAGCCGTCAGCGGCCACTTTAGGGACTGTTGGCCATCAGCGTACGATGTTCTCCGTGTAATCGGTCTCTGAACCTTTCTTTGCATTTCAGCCACGGATCCTGCTGGAGGGACTCTCGCAAGCGGTGCAAGTCTGTTGTCTTCTCAAGGTATTTTTGGAGGGAATCCACGTTCAAAAGTAGAAGAGGGTGGAAAACTTCTCTTGCCAGCCGCTTGCTGTGGGTCGTGAAGGGATATTATTTCTCCAGCTCAGTTGGCAACACTTCTCGTTGTTCTGCCTCCACCCACTCAAGGTGCCTTCTGTGTTGGTCCCGGTCCCTACAGAAGAACCTTCCAGAAGATGCAGAAGGATTCCCGGTGTGGTCCTTTTGGAGAAGCCCTGTAAGGTAGGACTGTATAAGAAGGTGCTGGGAGTGAAGGCCATTTTATTTACAAAACTGATGTCATGCTTTTTTGGCCCAAAACATGGTGACCACAGCGGCAAAACAAATCAAAAGTGGAACACTGTAAAACCTATTGTTGGCGTCGATTAAAACTAAAGACCAAACATGGATTTAAAGAAATTAAAACACAGGTCAGGAAGGAAAGGTCGATAAAACAATGCCAGAAGAAACAATCAAAAATCTTCACCCACTGGCAAATGGGGAGGGAGGGAGGAAGGGAGGGAGATTAATTTCCCAGGGCAGGGAGTTCGACAGTTTTGGGGCCACAATCCAGAAGGCCCTTTCCTGGGTTCCCACCTGCCTAGCCCCCGTCGGCGGGGGCACTCAAAGAAGGGCCTCCGAAGATGACCAGAGTGAGCGAACAGCTGCGTTTGTATTGTGCTACATCTTCTTACATTTTGATTTTTGTGGTTCCTGTGTTCAGTTGTGGTTATTTTTGGGTACCCACTTTTTAAAAAAAGCTGCTCTGAGCCCTTTCTGATGGAGGGGGGAAGTCAGAATAAACAAACTCATCCCTCCCCCCTGAAGTCCTTCATAATCTGTTTACTGACTGACCGGAGAGTTTTCTGTCATACTTGCCACCCACCCGGCGTCCCAGGCGGACTATAAATGAAATGACAGAAACAACCACTCAGTGTGAGGCTCCCTTTAAAAGTCATTGGAAGGAAGTGGATCTCTGGAGGTGTCAAGGTTTCTCTCCCTCACACCAGTCCAGGGATGGGGAAGGAAACCAAGGGTTCAGGAACAATTAAACAAACGCCAGGAGAATGTCTGCACACTCTCCAGGCCTTACCAGTAGTCACTGCCACCAGGATCTCTTTAACCAGTCCCGCAGCAAAACTCAGGAGCAGAGATCCCAAACTCCTTCTTGACTGGCCCGCGTTACCAGCTCTGCACAAGGGCTGCAAACAGTTAAGTACCCAGGCGACAAGACTCAGTCTTAGAGATCAGGTTGCAACAGAGGAAACAGGTCCAGATAATATTGATCATATATTATCTTTATTCAGTGCACAAGCATGCATGTAACATGAGACTAGCAAAAGATAAGAAACAAAAGATACCTATAGCTTGTTCAGCTCTAGCTACACAATAGAGGTAGGTCATAGTTATCAGGCTTTTAGAGGTATCCGATGAAATAGTCCAAGGTCTCACCAGGGGATCTTGAAAAGGAACCCCATGGTTTTGTGGGCAGCTAGTCCAGCTTGGCTGCCTAACAGTCTCACTCCATGTTAACAGCAAACAGTCAATCCAAAAGAACTCTTTGTTTCCAGAGAGAAATTCCCTTAACTCTTCTCCAACACTCTGTTTCCCATATGGATCATTCCTGATATACACCCCCCCTCCGTCACCACCAGGTATGGCCATTTACCCAATAGTGAGAGTGGGGAGGCGTTCCACTCTCTGGTTACCATGCGTTGTCAGGCAACGTATGTTTTGATTGGCTCGGAGTTGGGCATCCTACTCCAGCCTCTTCTATTGACCATGTGTCATGTCAGGGAACGCTTTTGATGTGCTAATGTACTGGACATAGCTTGTCCCATGCTTGGGAAGGCCCCGGCAACTCACTCTCTCCTGGCAGAGGTGTCAAAGTGTCTTTTATATGGAGATGTGGCCTGGCCATCTGGCAAGCCATTTGCACAGGTGACAGGAATTACGCGCTAGTGTTACCAGCAAGGGCCATCTGGCCCAAGCAGGGAGGATTTTAGAAAAGCCTTTTTCTATACAGGAGGCCCTTGGAGCCAGCAAACCCAATTAAACATCAGGAACATGCGTGTATTGGGAGCTCCTGTGCTAATGGAGAAGGAAACACCAGAGGCAGGCTTAGGGTGTGAAGTTTACAAGCGTGTTTATTTCGACAAAATGGGTATTTTCGGGGGGGGGGGGATTTAGAACTATCATGTTCAAAGCAAAATGCAGATAATAAACTTTTCACGCTGCCACAGGGGAAGGGCTCAGTGGCAGAGCATCATTGTGGCGTGTGGAAGGTGCCGGGTTCGATCCGCGGCATCTCCAGTTAAAAGGGCTGGGGAGGCGGTGAGCTCAGCTCGAGACCCCAGAGAGCCACTGCCAGTCTGAGTAGACAAGTTCTGAACCTGATGGACCCCTCAGGGTCCGATTCAGCAGAAGGCGGCTTTGTGTGTCTCCAGGAGTGTGTGTGTTCTTCCTCCCCTGATTAGTGTATTCCCAGCAGTACCTGCCCTGCCCCGCCCTCCCCTCCCCGGGGGCATCTCGTCTGATGTGGAACTGGAGCCTGGATGGGGGCCTTGGCTGGACCCAGAAGTGTCTCCTGAGAGACGGTGGCTCTGTCACACACACACACCCCGCCCACTAGGCCCTGGCTGCAGAATCCGCCTTTCTGGGCACCGCCCTTCCTTCCAGCCGCCAGTCTCCTCTTCGGCCCCTCAGTGCGGAACTCCACACCTCACATAACTGACTCTTCATGAGATCCAGGTGGGTGGCCCTGCCACCGGACTCAAGACTTTGTCCTGGCTTTTCATCACTTATGCAGACAGGACGCTCGTTGCTTTCTGCTGGTCACACATCCAGCCTGAATACTTTAGATGCTTCTGAACATTCCATGACATCACTGCAGCTCAACCGAAAGCTTTTAGGAAGTAGCCTGAACTTCGGCCCATTGCATTTCAAGCAGAGGTAATAATTTACACTCATGTACTGGTTTAAAGTCCGAAGGAGACAGTGCACTGGAGAAGGAAGGGAAGCGGCAACCCCTAGGCCACAGACTACATTGGAATCACTGCAGACTATATGCCACATCAAGAAAAGATTAGCACTTCGGTTGCAAATATTTCAGTTCATCAGAACATAAGACGTGTTGGATCAGGCCAATGGCCCATCCAGTCTGACACTCAGTGTCACACAGTGCCCCCCCCCAAAAAAACCCCCACAACCAGGTACCCTCAGGAGGTCCAGCAGCGGGACCAGAACCCCTCCCACTGTCGTCCCCCGCTCCCAAGCACCAAGAATAGAGCATCACTGCCCCAGACAGAGTGTTCCAGCTATCCCGTGTGGCTGAGAGCCACTGATGGACCTCTGCTCCATAGGTTTATCTAGTCCCCTGTTGAAGCTGTGTATGCTTGTAGCCACCACCACCACTTCCTGCGGCAGTGAATTCCATGTGTTGATAGGTGAAGGACTTCCTTTTGTCTGTTCTAACACGACTGCTCAGCAGTTTCATGGAGTGCCCACGAGTTCTTGTATTGTGAGAGAGGGAGGAAAGTATCTCTTTCTCTACCTGCCCCTACCTGCTCTATCCCATGCATAATCTTGTAAACCTCTATCGCGTCACCCCCTGAGTCGTTGTTGCTCCAAACGGAAGAGTCCCGGCCTCTTTAAGCTCTCTTCGTAGGGGAAGTGTTCCATCCTCTTAATCTTTTGGGTTGCCCTTCTATGCACTTTTACCAATGCTACAGTGCCTTTTTTGAGATGCAGTGACCAGAACTGTACACAGTACTCCAAACGAGGCCACACCATCCATTTGTACAGGGGCATTATGAGACTGGCTGATTGGTTTTCGATTCCCAGTTCATTTCCCATTAATACTAACAGCTCAAATATCAGAACAAGAACAAAATCCACCCAAAATCCAATCGGGAGAGATGGAAACCAGAGGCCGCTGCCAGAGAGACAATTCGGTGGCAGAACAGGCGAGAGTTGAAGGCGGCAGAAGCTCTTTGTGTGGGACAGCAAGATCCCCAGGATCTCATGAGAAGATCCTCCTTGTTCTCTTCTTAGGCTTCAGGTACGGACACTAAAAAAGAAACAAAATGAGACTCTTAAGTGAAGCTGCTGTGGAACTGTCAACATGCATCAAAACCAGGGAGTGGGGAGGGCGGGGAGTGCGGGAGACACAAAGGCCATCCAAGCTTGTGTTTCGCTAAGGGGGGGCAACTCAACCATGCCCCCCCCCCTACAGATCAGGCCACAAGCAGGGTGCCGTGCCGAGGGACCCATAGCACAAAGGCCTCCAATGGGCCACTCAAGCAAGCGAGTCAAGCCACAGGCTTCAGGGGAAGCCAGGAAATCAACCGGGGCACTAACCCCCCACGCAGAAATCCTTTCCCTAAGAGGGCCGTCAGGAAGACCCTGAGCAAAGTCAGAGAGGAAGGAGACCCTCCACAAGGTGAAAATTCAGAGCACTAGAAAATGGACTGGCTGAAGAAAGGGCAGAAGTTGTTCTTGTGGGGAAAGGACTCAGCCCCACAGCTGATGATAACGGCCATAATTTTGCACTCTGCTGATGCTCAGAGGCTAGCCTCGAGGGTTATAATACAAGAACAGTTGGCGAGGCTCTGGTTTCAGGTGGAAAACGAGGTAGGGGCAGCCCCTACTGGATGGCAAATGGCTGCCGACCTGGGAAACGGCCAGGTCTTCCTGAGGAGAACGTAATGTAGGGTAATGAGAGCCAGAAGATTCCGGAACCGGGAAATACTGGCGTTTCACAGCAGGACAGGGGTAAAAGAAGAACGGGATTTCCTGTTGTGAGAGGAAAAGAAGGACTCTCTCTTTCTCCACCGACTGCACTGGCTACCAATTGAGTACGGAATCCGGTTCAAGGCGTTGGTGCTGACCTTGGAAGCCCTAGGCGGCCAGGGACCGACCTATCTGTGGGACCGCCACTCCCCTTATGTGCCCCATAGAGCTTTACGCTCGGCAGAGGAACACCTGCTGGCAGTCCCCGGCCCAAAAGACGACCGTCTGGCCTTGACTAGGGCCAGGGCCTTTTCTGCCCTGGCCCCAGGCTGGTGGAACATACTCCCAATTGAGATCAGGGCCATGTGGGAGTTAGTACTGTTCCACAGGGCCTGCAAAACAGAGCTGTTCCGCTGGGCTTTCAGCTGACTGGCAGGCAGTCCTGGCCCCTTCTTCCTAGAGGTAATTTGACTGTTCACTTCCCTTACAGAGCCGCACTGTTTGACAACAATGTATCCAATTCTCATCATAGTTCCATTTGCGGATACTTAAATCCAGAGACTGGGACTGAGAACAGACAAGCCAGATCTTACTACAAACCAGACAGAAGCCCCAGGTTTGCAGGAAAATCTGAAAAGATATAATAGGAGTTATACTGTGATAACAGTAGCTTTAAGCCTGTAGCTTAAAGCCTGTAGCTTTAAGGTGACCTCTGAGATTTCAGAGGCTATTCTGGGATGTGCTACTCAACCAAAACAGTATTGTCAGCCTGCAAGCCTTGGATTCTGTCAATAAAAGGCAGGAGTGGTAAGGGCCCTCTCCAAGGCTGCTTTGGCCTTTGAGGGAAGACTCAAGGCCAGGACCGGAAGCAACCACTGGACTCCTTGCTACCATGTTTTACCCCATCCTGGTGGTTTCCTACTATTCAACAGCAGCCACTGCATGAAAGCCAGTAGGCGTATAGGTTAGATTCAGACTAGGGTCTGAGAGAAGCAGGTCTGAATCCCCACTCTGCCATGGATACTTGCTGGGTGACCTTCGGCAGTCACTCTCTCTCTTTACCCCATCCTGGTGGTTTCCTACTATTCAACAGCAGCCACTGCATGAAAGCCAGTAGGCGTATAGGTTAGATTCAGACTAGGGTCTGAGAGAAGCAGGTCTGAATCCCCACTCTGCCATGGATACTTGCTGGGTGACCTTTGGCAGTCACTCTCTCTCAGCCTTACCTACCTGGTGAAGATAAAATGTAGGGGGGGAATTATGTAAGATGCTTTTGGGTCCCCATTTTGGGAAAAGGTGGGCTATAAATGAATGAATAATACATACAGCTGAAGATAGAGGGCAGATAAAAGGTCAGTTAGTGGGTGGGAAGGAAGGAGAGAAGGAAGCAAGGAACGGAGACAGAATATGGGGGTTGCCGGGGGGGGGGAGGAAATAGTGTGGGAAGCAGGATACACAGGAAAGGTAGGTGCTCCCCACAAATCCTTGCAGGTTCTGCACTTGTTGTCTCATTGCCCTGAGCAATTAAAATATTTGTAAATGTTCTAGGGCATCCCAGGAATCTGGCCAAGGCGGTGTGTGTGTGTTGAGGTTTACATGCAGGTGAAACTCAGGTTTTTGCCAATGACAGTCTGCTTGACCTTAAAAGTTCAGAGCAGCCAGTAGGGTTTCTTTAGACGCTACAAAATCCAGCTAACCCTATATGAAGTGATGGGGGAGCTTTAATGGCTGGATATTCTGGCTGGGGGGAAACACTGCAGAGAACAAAGAAGAGACCCAAGTGCATCTGGAGTGGAAGTGGCAAAGCCTGGCCTACCACAGACTGAGGAATGGGGGGGGGGCAAAGTTGGGTTTCTGCCCCCTGGAAAGGGCAGCACTTGGAAATCGGCCTCCAGCCACCCCATTCTCCCGGTTCATGTGGACCCCGGGGTGACACATCAGCGTAGCCGTGACTTGAATCCCAAACCTGCCCACGACACTAGGAAGGAAGGCCCTCCTGCGGCCCAATCGCTGCCCATTCAGAAGGTCCCGGTCAGAGTCTCCGTTCTGCCTCTCTGGGACCGGAACTTCCAGGTTACAATTCACCATCACTTAAATTGAACTAGTGTGTTCATGGAAGCATTTGCACCCTGCCTTTCCTCTTGGCTCCTATTGAAAGTCCTTCGACGGTCCTTTGGGACTGGCTTTCCCTTTCCATGCTTGAGGACTGTTTTCACAGATAATGTTTTGCTGTTCAGTTTAATTATAAGTTGTTTGGAGGGTGTTCTGGCCAGCCCTCTGGATGTTCTAAGAACATAAGGGAAGCCACGTTGGATCAGCCCGATGGCCCATCCAGTCCGACACTCTGTCTCACGCAGTGGCCTGCTTGTACCAGGCGAGTCTCTCTGTAACCGTGAAGCCACCTGGCTGTAGAAGACCAAGACGCTCCATTCCTCCCTCAGGCCACATAATTGGGGGGAGCTGTGGGTCTTTCAGCTGATCCTTCACTGGACCCCTCCCCCCAATCCGCACCTCCACTTTTGTGTTGACAGAACGTTCCAGAGAGGAAGGGACGTCACTCACCTGGTGTTAGTGCGTAGTCACCATCTGGCCGATGATGTTGCCCTGCAGAAAGAGAACCAGGGGACATCAGAGTCGGAAGAGACACCCAGAGACCACCCAGCCCCACCCTCTTCTGCAGTGAAGCCGGCCTTCGGGGCTCTCAACCCCCCCCCCCCCCGGCTCCCCCCCCCTCCCTCTTAACCACATCCCCTCCCTAGGCTCCTCTTGGTGAAGAGAACAGGGAGGGCTCTCAGTCAGCCACGGAGAGGAGTTCTGGGGGGAAATCCAACCAGGTGACAAGATGCTCCCCCCACCCCCGGAATTTGGATTCTGCAGGCTCTCCATGAGAGGATTATCTTACTCTCTTGTGCAGACCCCCCCTGCCTCTCCTGCATGGGGGGGGACACACCAGGTCCTCAGCCCCCTCCCCCTCCCCGTTGCCTGGGGGAAAGGGCTGTGACCTCCCCCCCCCTCGGTGACATGCTGGGCGGGAGGTTTTCAGTGCCGGTTTCTTGCCCTACCCTATCTGTTTAGCGTGACTTTTGTGTTCAGCCACCCGGGGTCCTGCCTTGTGAGAGATAGGAGAGCTGGAAGAATTTTAAACTAACCAACAGATACTTCCCAGTCCATGTTCAAAAGGCCATTACGAGGGGAGAGTTCACGGGCACTGCCAGATGTGGGAGAAACATCTGCCCCTGCTAGGGGCCCTCTCGCACCCCCCACAGTCTTCAGAGAGGATCGGCCCCAAGAATATCACACACTGCTCATCCAAGCCCCCCCCCGTTCACTTACTCCTGTAGAAGGCGACCCCAGCCCCCAGCAAAAGGGCAGAGAGGACCCCGATGAGGACTCCCACAATGAGCAGCAAGTTGGATGCTGAGGAGGAAAGGGAGGAAGAGAGATCACTGTTATTCAGCCCGGCTGTTGCCCTCCAAGGCAGAGATATTCCAGACGAAGCATCTCAGGTTGCTGGAAGTTGCACAAATTACACTGGGAACATCCTGCGTGTGATGACAACCTCCACACCGAGTTCCTGCCCCCCATCCATCTCCCAGAGCACCCCCCGGACATTCTGCCCCCTGCCCCTTTAACATAAGGGTATGAGCAACCGGTCAGGACTCCCCCCCCCCAAGCAAGCCCAGGGAGCCACTGGGAGACGCTGCTCTAAACTGTGCTAAGATGGAGGGCGTCTTTTCCGGGAGCCCCTCCTTCCTTCCGCCCACCCCCCCCACCCTCCTCCCCCCACCCTTTCTGCTCTCACCCGGCTCCTCCCAGGCCAAGTCCAGGGGCTCCAGCAGGCTGTCGTGTTCCACCCGGCACCGGTAGCGGCCCTTCTCCTTGGGGTCCACCTCGATGCTGAGCCAGGTGTGGTAGGTCCCGTCCGAGTTGGGGACGACACCCCCCGTCATGGTCTCTGACTTCCGGTCCTCCCCGTCCTTCATCCAGGTGACCTCAATATCCTTTGGGTAGAAGCCGTAGAGCTGGCAGAAGAGGGTCTCCTGTCCATCGTAGCCCTTCTTGCGTGCCACCCTCGTCACTGGGGCCTCTGTGGAAAGGGCAACGTCATCCTGGGTTAACACCCTGCATCTCCCGAGATGAGAGACTGGAGACTGGCCTTGAAGGGACCCCATGTGGTCTTCCAGTCCCACCCCGGATTGGATGCACCAAACCTGCAGCATCTCCAAGAGATGAAACACTCCACAGAAGCGGGTTCTCCGGCCTAGCCTTGGAAATTAGATTGTGGTTCTGAGACTGGCCTTGTGTGAGTTCCTTCAGGGTTTGGGGGTGAAGAGCCTTCCTTAACCCACATTTCAGAGTTCTTTTCTAAATGATCCTTAGTACTCATTTTAGAGGACCAAGCAAGAAACACACACAAAGACACTGCAGAGGTACCAAATCAGGCCATCTCAGGGCCACTAACCAGCCTGGTCAGCTTCAAAGAGCCCCCTCCAAAAAAAAAAAAAGATGTGGCCAGAGATTTTTCTGCTTTCTGCAAGATACAACGACCTCTTTACATGCTCTAAGACACTCAGCCCTCACACTGATATTTTAGAGCTGTCTGTCTGAATGGGAAGGGTAGTCTGCTAATGCCCAGACACCTTTACTTGAACTGTCACAGTTTTTGACATCAAAAAGCAATAGTCTTCAGTACCTTCTCAGGGGTGGGTAGACGGGAGTAAAAGGCAGGTCTACATGGACCCTCTAGATTTTTTTACATAGCAAGAACCCTCGTCTCCAAACACACATACCAAATTGGCCATCAAATTACAGATCAACTCGGTATTCTCAGGATAGATCTTAGAAATCACTCCACACTGCTGCTGGGGTTCAAATGCACGGATCCTCCTGCTTTTTGGATGTAGTCCTCCAAAATATAATGCCAGTTTAAAGAATACACGCACATCCACAGTCTACACCAGAACAATCAAGGATCCAGTGCTTTATGGCACAGATGCCATACGGTACAAAAACAAAGATCCGAAGACTCGTGGATTCATCTGATAAAACTTCAGAACCACGAATTAACTCCACACCCACAGAATTCTCAGGGGGAGGGGGACAAAACGCAGATCCAGTGCTTTGTGGCTCTTTCACAGCGCAAACACTCATGTCCAAGGCACGAATCCTCATGGATCTTTACAATTTTTACACAAAGTCCTACAAAACTCACTGCCACATTCCATACCACATCCATGTCTACACAGTGCAGAGCCAGAAGCACAGAACCAGCACTTTGAGCCACACCCACATGGCACAAAAACATGGATTCAAGTCACGGATCCTCCTGAACTGGTACGGTTTTTATACTCCCACATTAAGCAGCAACAAATTACTCCAGGGGACCTTTATGCTCCAAACTTTAACCAAAGGGCCTTTTTAAAAACATTCCAAGAGGATCTCACAAATTTTGCAGGAGGAGGAGTTATTCCAGCGGGTGGCTTCGATAGTGTTATAAACCATGGGATGGATAGGTCGATCAAGACATCAAATACTCCTTCTTTGCCTTTCCTTTTACGATGCAGAAAGGGTTTTCAATAAGGTGTTACTATCCATTAAAGGTTGACACATCGATGCACACTCCGAGCATTTTGATAGCCATGGTCAGGAGCAATGCTCTCTCTAAGGTGTGGAGTCTTGTGAGCAAAAATTCTACTTTGTGAGCCACTGGCATTAAAGCCGTGAGCAGGTGATTTGGCTACTGCATAAATTAGTTTGCTCTGGAGCCATCCCTTCCTGAGCTAAGACAAAAATATGTGAGCCGGAGGCTAAAAATCTGCGAGCTAGCTCACACTACCTCAGCTTAGAGGAAACACTGGAGGAGTTTCCGAATCTGCCTTCCCTGGGTGTGTGTGCTTGGAAGTTGAAGAAAACTTTTTATATAACCTAATTCTTTTGTCATACAGAACATTTAGAATGCCTTGGCACAAAAACATTTTATACCCCATAGTGTGTGTGCATACAATAATTTGACCACTGAGGAAGGCCTTGGAGACCAAAACGCGTTTCATCGTGTTTAAATGTGGTTCAAGGCTATCAACCTAGAGACATCGAATTGTTGCTCCTGTTCTATTGGTTCAAGACTCTTAACCTAGAGGTGTTAAATCATATGATATATTGATTCAGGACTTCTTTGTTCAAATATTCACTGCTTCAAGGGTGGAAGGTGCTTACACTTTTAAAGTTGAGTTTTACTGCACTTTGTAATAAATACATATATTTTGTTTAATATACTTGTTATAATTTTCTCTCAAAGTATCCAACTTTGTTGTTTCTCAGGGTTGGGTTTTCTTCCTTTCTGTTTTGGAACATAAATATTTACTGAAATGCTTAAACAAATTTGGTTTTGGAAGGAACTTTAAAGAATCAGCAAAAATTATTTCTTCCAATGCTACAGTAAAGAGAAATATATAAAAAAAATTCACAGCCAGTGAAATTAAATAGAGCAAAGAGGCCCTTTTTCAGCATGATTGTTTTAACTTTTCCTCAGAGCCATTAGCCACATCAATTAGAGATTTGAAGAGGAGATTGGATTTATACCTCACCCATCACTACCCAGAGGAGTCTCAGAACAGCTTACAATCTCCTTCCCTTCCCCTCCCCACAACAGACACCCACCCTGTGAGGTAGGTGGGGCTGAGAGAGCTCTTTCGAGAACTGCTCTTGAGAGAACAACTCTGAAAGAATTTGGGACTAACTCAAGGCCACACCAGCAGCTGCATGTGGAGGAGCGGGGAACCAAACCAGGTTCTCCCCGATTAGAATCCGCGCTCCTAACCACTACACCAAACTGGCTCTCTCTTGCCTAGTATCAAGGGCATTGGGATAGGAAAAGATTCGTACAAGATTAGTCTCTTTGCTGACAACATTGTAATTTTTCTAACAGATCCGGGACAATCAGCTGCCAATTTAGAAATTCTTACAAAGGAATTCAACAAAATAGCTGGATATAAAGACTGAAGCAGTGCTTTTTAATATGGATTTCCATAGTTTTTCTTCTCAGAACTGGATTAGGAAAATCAAGATTACAAAAAAATTATGCATATTTAGGAAGTAAATTAAATTAAGCAAAAACAAGGAAGACTTATCCGGTAACAATTGTAAAGCAATTCTAGGTCAGATAAACATAGTAAAGATGATGCTGATATCAAAAAATAATTATATAATCTTAAACTTACCAATTATGGTAAACAAGTTTATACAGGGCAGTAAAAAAACCTAGAGTCAACTGGTCAGGAGTACAAAGCAAAAGCAAAGAGGGTGAACTGGGTCTTCCTAATTAAGTAACATTATCACGAGGCCACATGACTGGTTTGAATGTCATGAAAACTGGATTCTTAATGGGTTCTTGAAGATTTGGGATAGTTACAGGAAAAAAGTGGTCACCACTTGACATCTCTCCAGTGGCATCCGCAGTGAGAGATCTTGATAAATAGCAACATTTTAAATGTGACTCATTAGCAAATGGGGTATCTTATGGTATTGATATGTCTATGACATTAATTACCCTGGACTTTCAGGAAAGGGAATTAACTAAGCAATGGCAATATAAATTGGTTTCATTTCTTACAACTTAAGAGCTTCTTGAAGAAAAGTATACGTGGAAGTTTAGGAACAAGAAAATTAACAAAAATTGGAGTGTGTGTCCATGTCAAAAACAAGAGTGCCTACTTTCTAAAATCAGTAAAATTCTATATAAAGAGGGTATTGCAACTCAAACAATCATTTCAATCTAAACGGGGGAAAGATTTGAAATACGAAATTCCAGGGAAAAGGGAAATTTATTTTTACACATAGTTCATCCATTTCTCCCCAATTTTGAGAACATTCAATAAACATGCTACATGAATGGCACTTGACAGCATGCAGAACAGTAGAAATTTATTTTTAAAAACCCACATGACCCACTTATGTCGGTACTGCAAACTACCAAATGCCCGTTTCCAAAAGAATATCTAACTATGATCTTTCCTATGATAACCGCTGCTAGAATGACCTTTGTGAGATACTGGAAGCCAGACAATATTCTATCAATGGAAGAAGGGATCAGGAAATATAAAGGAACCTTTTTGGTACTCAAGTTGACATTTTTTAAAAACGGGAAAGAAGATTATCTCAGCTGAAGTCAGTTTGGCAAATGGCGTATAAAGGTTTCAGTGGGATGTCGGGAGGCTCCACTTAAATTCTCACAGGTGCCACTTTTGTGGGATCCCCTTCCAAGGAAAAATGCCTGTTTTGGGGAGCAAGGGCAGGCCCACTGCTCTCAACTCCCCCCCTCCAAACTCTGTAGCCCAGCCCCCCCCCATTTACAGCTATTCCCCCCTCCACTGGCAGACGGGTGAGCCCCTTGGCCTGCCAGTAATCGGGCAGGGAGAGGCGGGCAAAAGAAAAGGAGGTGATCCATCCAAATCAATTACCAAGGCATTAAATGGTGGTGGTGGTGGGGAGAAACAGGGGCATATTCCTCAACCCCCCCCCAAAGGCTTTTCTGCAGAAAGGAGCAGCAGTCCCGGGTGAGGGGGGACGATGGGCAGATGGTACCCCTTTTGCCAAGGAAGGGAGAAGGAGCCCCCTCTTTAAGCCCTCAGCCCACCCCACAAAAGGCTGGAAAGGGGATGTTGGAGGGAGGGGGCAGCAAGACGGGGGTCCCAGCGGCAGCACCTTCAAGACCCACCCTTGGGATTTCCAGGCGGCGCCTCCCCTGAGGACAAATGCCGGCGAGGGGGGGGGGGGTTGGCTGGAAGCAGCAGGACAAAGGTTCGAGTCCGGCCGGGGGGAGGGTCTTTCCACAGCTCTCCCTCCCTCCCCGGGTGGATGTGGCCCCCCCTTACTCTGCATCCCCCCCCCCACGGCTCCTCACCTGTCCTCAGCAGGGTCTCCTTGCCGTAGCCCAGGTACCTCCGCAGCCACTCCACACATTCCCCCTCCAGGTAGTACTTTGTTTGTGGGGCCCACTGGGTCTCGCGCTCCAACTGCCTCATGGTCTCCTGGGCCTGGGGCACGCGGGCGGTCCAAGTGACGGTCTCCAAGTCGAGGGCGAGGAAGTCCTCCCCATCGTAGGCGTACTGGTAGTGCCCCCCGCGAAGCTGCCCGTCCGGCCCCACCTCGCAGCCCTCCATCCGCTGCAGGGTGTGGAGCCCTGTAAGTTCAAGAGACACAGGCGAGAGGTGAGAAGGGGGGGAGAGAACATCTGGGGATGTGTTTGCGGCAGGTTCTCTTTCCCCACTTGAATGGGGGGGTGGAGCAGGCCCGTAGCCTGCGTGGGGCCCACAGGGCCTGCCCTCCCCTGCTGGTTTTGCGGGCCCCTCCCCTGCTCCCCCCTCCCAAACCAGCACTGCCGCCGCCTCCTTCTCTGGCCCTGTCAGGGTCCCGGCTCCGGCCACAGCCCTTCCTGCCTTGGCGGCAGCCCGCCTGTCGCTTCCCACCCCCGACCCCGGCGGGCGGCCCGC